TGCCCAGGTGAGGGAGCAGGGGATTGCTAAGAGGTCTGGTAGAGCAAGCAGCCAGAACACACTCCCCAAGGCCTTGATAAGGGACCTGTGGGGTGGTCAGCTTGCCACAACCCTGCCCTCAGCCCAAAGCATTGCCAGACTGCAGGGGTGGTTCTTGACCCACAGGATAGTCCCCACTTTGTCCCAAGAGCTGCAGCCCAGAACAGCACTTAGCAGGCAGGAGGGCAGGGAGCCAGGGACATGCAGGGGCTGCCTGCTCTAATGAGGTGTTCCCAGGCAGCACCTGCATAGAGACCAAGCAGCTCTCCAGATGGCAGCCAGGAGCTGCCATCTGGGCAGCTCAGTAGTTCTGACAGGCTGAGGAGGAGGAAGGGAAGGGGAGGGGCAGGGACTCTGTAGTTAGAGCCCTGGGCATTTGCCATGTACTCACACTGTTCCCTGACCTTTGCCTCCTTCGTGTGCAGGCTGGGCCAGGGAGTGTGCAGAGCTCAGCAAAGGGGTGTGGGTGGAACCCAAGTCAGTCAACAGGGCCACCCCTCCCCTCCTTAGAGCCAGGTGCGGTTTGCCTGAGCCAAGCTCCCCCAGGCTACCCTTGGCTCCATAGCAGCCCCCTCCATGCTACCAGTGAGGAGCTCCCTCTGCAGCACAACCCAGAGCTTGCCCCCTTCCCCACTCCCGAGAGCATCTGAGGTCTCTGCTCAGTCTCCTTGAGCAGGGCAGGAATGGAGCAGTGCAGACAACAACCCTTCTCCCCACCAGACCCCTCTGGGCAGCTCAGTAGTTTTGACATCCTGTGCAACACAGCATGGCGTGTGTGCCCTTCTGCACCACCATTGCCAATGTGCTTGAATTCCATGTGCCCCTGGGCAGGGACATGTGCCACACCAGCCACAGCCTGTGAACACACTGACCCCCTACAGCAGTAATCCCATGGGCCAGGTGAGCACTCACAGGCACCAGAGGAGCCAAAACTAGCCTAGTGAGGCTGCAGCAGAAGCTTGGACCTGGTCCTGTCCTGTAGAAGGAAGAGTAAATTTGCACCTGACAGACTCACCAAGGTAGATATCTATGTCTCCACGATCCCTGTGTGTAGGGCATCGCACGGTGCCCCTGCAGGGATCAGCTCTTCAGGACCACACGGAGGACTGTTCTCACAGCCCAGCAAGGCCAGGCAGTCAGAGCCTACTGGGCTGAAGCAGCCCCCAGGAAGGCAGTGCCCCTGTCTAGCCCCTCTCGGGAACCACTGCCCTCCTTGTGCCTTTCACTGCTCACAGCAGCCGCAGGCAAAGTACACCCTCTCTGGCATCTCTGTGAAGCCTGCTTCTTCATCGGCTGGCTGCTGGGCTGCAAAGTCTGGCCCTGTCTCAAGCATTTTTGGGTGGCTGGTCTGGGCTTGGCTTGGCAGCCTGGACAAGGGCAGAGACCCATGGAGAAGGGATGGCAGGTCCCCAAGGCTTTCGATGACACTGTCCTGCTGGGAGCCCTCTCCCAACCCAGCCAGTGCCCCTGCTCCTGGACCTGGCAGGGCAGTGCCCTTCCCCAGCCCCTTCCATTGAGAGCACCATTGGAAGTGAGTGCAGTGTAGTGCAATGAAGTAGAGCTTCTGCAAGGATTATTCCCCAAACTCCCCAGACTCTGCAGAGCTCCACCAGTGCAGGGGCAGCCCTGCCACCTTCCCACACCCACCTTACGCTGGCAAGCTGTGCCAGCCCCAAGCAGCCCCTTTTTCAAACTGCTGGGGAAAACTGCCCAAGGGTCTGCAGCTGGCCCAGTCCTGGTCCTGCACTCAGCACCAGCACCTAGATCCCTTCCTCGGGCCAGAGGAATAGGTTAACTCTTCCCTTGCCAGTGAAGGTAGAAGACACTCCTTTAGAGAGCCCCAGCACATGTCTTTCCCAAAGCCTCAGCTCCCCATATTGCATCTTCCTCAGCCTTTCTGCACTAGGGGGACAAAGGGTTACAACCCCATGTGTGTGGCGATCTTGTGCAGAAAGCTGTTCTGCCACGTGCCTGAGCTGGTCTGGGCAAACCTAGATCCTCTCTCAGGTTTTTCTCAAGACCCCCCCTCACCCAGCCCAGACAGGGGGTACAGCAGAGCTCTCAGACCTTGGCACCATCCCACACTGGAAAGTCTCCCTCCCCTTGTGCTAAGCTGACTGCCTTGCTCAGAGGGCAGGACAGGGCTGGGTCTGGGTTCACCCACCTTGTCATGGGCCAGGCTTTTGGAAGAGAAGCCACCTGAGGCCCTGCCGTGTGCAGCAGGCCAAGTGTTTCTGCTGGTAGTTCACAGATCAAGGCACAAGACACTCACACCTGGGGCTAGGTTGGGCTGGGCTGGGGAGGGAAGGCAATTACCATGGAAGCTGCCTCCTGGCCCCTCCCTCAAGATTTCAGGCTTGTGGGCCTTGATCACATGTGCTACAGCAGTGCAGACACAGTGTGGGGCTGAGCCCAACCCCCAGGCCTCTGCTCTCAATGCAACACTGGGGCAGAGGCCAGCAGCCCTTGCTCACCCATGTCTAGGTGATGGTGGGTTTAGCAGATGCCATGGCTGGGTGGTGAGCCCTGCCATGCAGCGCTGGGTCTAGGGTGCATCTCCCCATGGCTGGTGCCCAGAACAGCCTCTCCTCTGCACTCACTGTCCATTTTGTTTCTCATCTGTTTTCTCGCCTTCACTCCATCCCTCCTGGACTTCTCTGTCATTCTCTTCCATGGACTTGCTCTGCGGGATGTCACTTGTGCCTGCTCATATCCACTTG